GCAGGCAGAAACAAATACCCTATCATCGACTCGTACAGTGTAGTGTATGCATGATACTGTTGGATGGTTTGGAAATCATGATGTGTGCAGGTGAAGGTAAAGGTTGTCTTCGATGTTGAAAACGAGGAATCATCTTCTGATGCCGGCGTCGATATCGAGTTACCGTCAGATTTCGCTACAGGCTTGACTGTTGGAGGGAAACGCAGTGTTGCAGCTCAGCTTTCAAAGCTTTATGCCATCCCTAAAAGCTATTTCACATTTGAAGGATACCCGCGTGTCGTTGTGGACGCAACTAAAGGGGAATTGCCCGCCCTTAAAGTTGCGCTCCAAGCAGTGTGCACTCGCCCGGATGGAACAATAGGCGTCAGCCCTGCTGAACTTGCTCGCGTACTAACTGAACGTGGTGGTTATGGGGAGAAGGACTTGATTTTCCTCCTCACAACTTCAGGAGAAAAGCTTCGAGTGTCCATCGAGAATCTTCGCCAAATAGCTCCAGAAAAGGCGCAGATGTTCATGTTTGGCGTAAGACACCGCATCACTCCACTTTGCCCCTGAGCAGGCAGCCCCCAAAATGAGGTGCTTCAACAAAGAAGGATGCCTGTCTTTGTTTGCATGCTCAGTGGAAACGTACGTTAGCGGACATCAAGGCAGAAGGTGAAGCAAAGGCGAAGGAAAGGGCAGAAGCTGCTGCGGGGGAGGTATGCCACATTTTTACAACTTCGGCACTGGTTCCCGATTCACTTCGCCCAATAGATATCACCCTCCCCCTCTAGATACGAATCTGTGGCTTTCCAACTAAAAACCAAATTCTGCTGTGCGGTGTCCTGTTTTCCGCAGAAAGCGCTCCTCTTCTCAGTCCATGTAAGCTGCCGTTGTTCTACACATTGTTGGACAGGCATTTCATTATAAAACGACCAAATTATCAGTTGCCTCGGTATACTCAATTTGTGATTTTCAGGTAGCCGATCCTGCACATTGGAGGAGCTTGTTGGGCCCGTGGTTGTCGCGCATGAGAGGATTTGGACCTTTAAGCGACACGAAAATCCAGCTCATTGTTCGCAACGAAAAGGAAGAAAATCCCGCTAACAGAAAAAGCAGATGCCACGTTTCGACATTCGACGAACTCATGGAATACATAAACGACATGGAGAAACTCCTCAAGATCTGCCCGGGGCTTCTGAGGGCGATGACCAACAGGCAACCGTTTGTATTCGAGTTAGGCATCAGGGCACCACCACCTTCAGTAAGTTTCAGTCTCTCATGGCCACCCACGACGTTTTGNGTGGTTGCGTACACAGGGCTTCCGCCTGTGGAACCGTGCGCATGGAGACCCAGAAAGGAATAGAAGATACCTGGAACGTCTTGCCGTTGCATTTACGAACGTGCATGATGACAGCAGAGTAGAGTGGAAGTTTGCCAAGCACAAGGGACAGATGACACCAGATCATATCCGCCAAATCAGGATTCTTCTACAAAGTGCAAAACCTCGAGATGCTGCCCTTGTTCGAGAAATTTTGGCAATTCTGGGTGTTCCGGCTGATGACATCGCAAGACTCACTGGAAGGCTGAATATCAAGATTATACACGAAGTAGGCAAACGAGCAAACAATTGCTAGTCCTATGCTAATGGCCAAACGAGAGGCACTTTCAGTGTGGCTCTTGATATTCCGAAAAAACATTTCCAATTGACTTTTTTTTTCTTGTGCTTTCTTTTTGCAGCCTACTGATCAAGACAAGGTGTTGCTGGTAAGTTCTCTCGGTGTTCCTGCTTAAACGATATCGTGCCGGATTTAGAATAAGTTTTAGTTCTTGTCTACATAACGGGTCTTCTGACAAACAAAACATTCTTTTTTGTGTGTGCTATTTGCAGCGCGAAGGAGTGGTAACGGTACGTTGATAGAACTGCCCCCCTACGCCACAAGTAATTTGCTTGCTAGCCTTGAATCGTCGTCATCTGTCCTCCCGATATACAAAGATAGATCTGCATTTCTTGTATGCGTTTGACATTTGCAGATGGACATCGCCAGAGCCAACGGCGCTAGGATTTCTCGCAACATTTCTGCCCATGGCAACCCTAAAGCACCTGTAAATATAGAATTGCCAAGTGGCGAGTACTCATTATCGTATAGTTTGTACAGTCCTACGCAGCAAGTGAGCGGGAGTCCTTGCAGCATCCGCACAGCAGAAGACTTTAAGGGTGTCACATGGGAAACTGCGCTCCAATGGTGTAACCTGAAGTTCCAAGACCTGCGCAGTTTGGCCGCTCCATTCCTCTGGATCGAGGGCGTCCAAACGGCAATGTATCCTCCATCTCAACCGGTGAGTAAAACAAAAGGTAGAGCACTCTTCTACCTTCATGCAAGACACTTACGGTGCTCTGATAGGATTACACGAAGACGAACAGCCTCGAAGCGTGTTTTATGAGCTTTGACTGAGTGCGTGCTGCGTCCAACAGGGTACACCAGTCGTGTCCTTCCAAAATGACATACCGCTTGGCTTCACGTTCAGGCGTCCTGGCTCTCCATTGTCTGACATCCTTCCAAGTGATATTTACTTTAACCTGGTTCAGCAGCCTGGGACTAACGTACCCGGAGCCACGTTTGTTCAGAGAGTGCCAACGCCGTCTGGCAACATAAAAACTGACATTAATTACTTCGGCGCAGATCCAGATCGCTGGCGCAGGAGGATTGATCCTGGCACAGCAATGGCACCACGTGGCACAACTGGCGAGTTTAATGTCTACCCAGATCCGGATCAAGAGGAAGCTGGGAAGGCATTTGCTAATCCGCTTCACCAGACTGTCGAGATCCCGGGATTCTCTCGAATGCCAGATCTACATGAGAGCTTTAATCTTGTCTTCAACCTGAGCAAGCCTCCCCCACCAACGGGCGAACTCGTGTACGTTCAAGCCCCAGCAGGCAATGGACGATACTTCTACTGTCCAGGAATCACGATTCAACAATTTCTCAGCTTGAAAAATAAGGAGGAAGCTGCTAGGCTTTGTGGAATCCCTATTGATCTGTTGGACGGAGACGTTTTGGTTTCCACATTCACCCCAGTACGTTGGTGTAGTAAGATGCAAGAGTTTTTCTAAAGAGCCATTTGATCGGTTCTTTGACCCTCCATGTTAATGTCGAAGCACACTACACCCCAGTAGAGTCCTTTAGCCTTCATTATGCCTTCTGTGAATCTCTTGCTTGCAGGGGACGACACCAAACTACGCGCCAGCCAGACCTGCGGTACCGGTAAGGATATCTATGTTAAAAGAGAGTTGTTTAGCTTAGCAGGTAGCCGTTATGGAATGTGTGCCCGCTTCCAAGACAGTCTACTAAGTAGGGGCGCTTAAGTGTTTTTGTACTGCTCGCGCAGGTCATTTTGGTTGACCGACTGCAAAGGCCTCACTACTATACCGCTCTTTGGGATGAACACCCCATGAAATATATTGGACCAATTCTCGAAGAAGGCCATCCGGAGGACCAAATGGTTTTCACATTCGCTAACTCGGACCAATGTGTCCTCAATCGCCAGATGCTGCATGGTCTTGCGTCTTGGGTGGAGCTTGCTAGGTTTTGTTCTGTAACATTTGAAGGCGTCCGCCCTACACAAATTGTCGGGACAGTCCAGGTGTGTTCGCTCTCTTACCCTTTGCTCCGTAACGGTCGCCGTTCTAGGGCACTTGCAGCTCACACTCCGATATAAAGCAATTCCAGAATACTTACATTTGTGTGTGCTAACTTTGTGTTTGCAGCCGGTCTACTTCCTTCCTCCAGTACGCCTAAACCTCCCTTTCCTTTATTCGAACAAAGCAACACCACTTACTAGACTCCTAGGGCGGGCATGTTGAATGCACTATACTGCTCGTATGTTTTTGTCCTTCAGGTCCAGATTGTCATGCCAGAAAGCTTGAAGACAACGTTTATGAAGACGCACAACGGAGTTGACCCACAAGACATTTTCTCGAAGGAGCCCGTTGCCTATGTCATAAATAACCTGCTGGCAAGCCAGAATCCCGGCGTGACTCTGGAAACTACTCTGGAGATGGCCGACGGCTCAAAATTCAATTTTTCACAGATTCCAAACGAGTGGAAGCACTTGCCTGCTCCTCAGATCCCAGGTCTCGCTCGCATTACGATAAAGGTAAGCATGAATGTAGTCTTCCCGGTTAATAGGTTTACCTAGTTTGAATGGGCAACTACAATCATTTGCTTGACACCTGTCTTTGTCTATGATCTGCAGATAATCGGGAAGCCTGCTGGACACTTTGCCGTAAGTATTTCCCAGCCCTTCTGCAGCGCCCCTGTTTTACAGTTTTGGCATGTAAGGTGGGGTGGTTTAACAGCCCATTGGCCAAAGCGAATAGTTGAGCGACCTTATGCTTGTAACAGGACATAAACGCGGGGACACTTGGCGACTTGCTGGCTCAGTTAAACATCGGCGGAAGCACTCCATTCTCGCAGTTTGTTTCAAAGATCACCGGAGACGTTCACAGCCCTACAGGAATGAAGATTCCTTCCAGCAACATACGGATTGGAGGCCCCACACCCCCAGGAGCTCCTACGCCTCGTTTCGAGCTTGAAATGTTCAACCCAGAAACCCTCGGAAGCGACGGATACCCTACCAACTTTGGTACCAGAGTACCGGTTGCCCACGGGGCTATTCCAGAAACAATGCCGATGGAAAACGTTATTAAAATGCTTCATAATCCATACATTGCAGTTGTAAGGGAACTAAAACCAAAAGAAGCTTTCACGGCCCCACGTATTTGGTAGTACGTTTAGCCATCGTATTGCTTGTTTGTTATGCGTGCGTGTGTTGCTCTCAGCACCAAAAGGCCAAGCCCGAGTACAAGGTACGCTGCGCTGCACACTTAGCTTAGCATACGTTTCTGGCACCATGCGGCTCACAAATGGAACACTGGTGGTATGCACACGATTTTTCTTGTACGTGTCTTTTTTCAGATTACTGCAATAACGGGAAATGCCGTTCCGTTTACAACCAAAGCGGAGCACTTGGATGCCCCTCTCAGTGAAGTCGTTAGGTGGTTTACGAGCACACTGGGCATCGAAGATAACAGCTCCATCCTTATTACCGTCGTGGTTGACGGCGTTGCCTACAGAGCGCCCCTAAGTGCTGCGCAACTTTTGGGGCATACCATCGGCAGCGTGCTGGGACTTGCCGGTGCCGTAGACCTCGACGATTCTCACGATGTTGTCTTTATTGTACGTCATTCCATTATCCGCNGCATACGTAATTATGTTCGTCAAACTTAGTCCTGTCTTCTCCATCAATGCGCTACATCGTGTTGGCTCTCTGTGCTCCCTTTGTGATATAGGGCCAACCTGCTCCAGGAATAACTGCAAAAAAGATCTCGCCGAGCCAACAGATGGTGAGCTCCCATGCAAATACCTGAAGATAGCCTTGACTGCACTGCCTATCCTCGGGCAAGTGAGACGTATGTATCTGAGCCGCTGCACTCTTGCGTTTCCTTTGCTCTCTGCAATTTCCCAACAGAACTTTGTAGTGAATGGAGCGGTTTACGACAAGTCGCCAGGATCTCCACTAGATTTTGCCAAGCTCTTAAACATCCAGGTGCCAGGAAAAGGACAAGCCCCCACGGATTACAAGTTTAGCATCAGTGGCCCCGGCGGCGAAACAATACAACAGCTGGTGCCAGCAGACTTTATTCATCTTCTGCAAGAAATAGCGGAGATGCATGGCAATCCGGGGCTCTCTTTGGTTCTTTCCTTCCTCAACTCGTTAAAGCAAGTCAGCAAGGTTGCTCCTGGACAAACGATTCAAATTGATACACAGGTATAGTACACCGGCTCTTTGTGTTCCTTGTCATAATATGAGTAGCTGCACACTACACCGGGAAAGCCATGAATGAAGCTCACGCTTTACATCTTCTTGTGTGCTTGCCAAATGTTTCAGGCCGCGGGTTCACTACCGTTTAAGGTAAGTACAAACGATTACAAGCCAAACACTGTAGCACAAGCGCTTCCGTTTGCATTAAGCAAAGTTACTGTGCCCTACATGATTTTTGGATGAGCAGACGTGACTGCATTGTACGTGTGCTGCCTGCGAATTATTCGTAGCACCCGAACGCGGCAATCAACGCCCTTCTTAATACTCCTGCTGGGTCGGTTCCTGAAGGATCTTACCTGGTCGTGTTTACCGGGACGGGACCCACTGCAAGAAAAGTAACGGTGCCTATCACGGCCCTCGACAGGGACAAGACAATACAGCGTCTTTTGGAGCATCTTAACATCGCACTTAACTCCATCGCTGACGTTAAAGTTGAATCAAAAGCAAGTCATCCACCATAAATCCCCTCTGTCTCAGTACAGGTAGTTAGTTATTATGCGAGTTTATNTCAAAAGCAAGTCATCCACCATAAATCCCCTCTGTCTCAGTACAGGTAGTTAGTTATTATGCGAGTTTATTTATGGAGGAGGCCGAGGCTTGGCTTTTTATTCTGTGATTGGCGACTTGATTGTGTTCCGTTGTTTTGCAGGCAGCAGGGCAGATTCCGGTAGGTTTTCCGTCATCCGCTTAAACGAAGACAACGTGTTCCAATCTTGCTCTATAGCTTCTAGATCATGGAAAGGTTTATCTCCTGTTACGTTTCAGGTGGAAGATGGCTCCGTAGATCTTGGCATACTCGGTCAAAGTGTTAAAGTCCCCTTACGATTCATCAGTTCAACGGATAAGAACAGTATTGATGACCTTCTCAAGAGAATGGGGCAACGGTTAGGAAGTATGCTGCAAGAAGCCCGAATTCCAAACCAGCCCATAGTGCTTCGCACCGTTTTCACAAAGCGAGATGGAACTTCTTTCACAGTCGAAACGCCTCTGGGAACTACAGAGAACGCCCAGAAGATGCTGTCGAGTCTTACTCTATGGGCGCTTGTGCCGGAAGAGGCTCAGCATCAACACATAAAGCATGTTTCAATGAGTGTTCAGGTAAGCATTAAGTCCGTCTCCTGAGATGCCATGCTGGCAAATCCAATGCTACAGTGCAGACATGTGAGAACTCGGCCTAACGCTTCTCGTTTTCGTTTTCTTGCAGGTTGTTGGAACACCTCCGAGCGCTCAGGGGATCGGCTTCTCCTCCGTTTCACAGTCGTCTGCGGGTGTCATGCTCCCAACAGAGCAAACTTGGGGAACACTTCCTGGACAGCCTGTGAGTTCTCTTTCCCTTGGACGTATTGCACCTTACGTAGTGAGCGGGTAGGTACTTCCATTTTCCCTTCTGAGACGAGCTAGCGCGTTGACTGCTTGTTGCTTAACAGGCCTCAACGGTGCCTGGTTTCTTCATCCAAGAGCCTGGCGAGAAACGCTCCAACCTGGCAGACGTCGGCGAGCAGTTGGTACGGGTATTCTTCCGGAAACGTGTCTCATCAACGGGCGTCTGGAGTCGTGTATTCTGGGGGATTCAGACGCCTGGAGGTTGCTCTCCGAAGACGGAATTCCCGTACTACTTGGTCATGGGCACAAAACTTGCTGATGTTCCAGTTCCTGTAGGCAAGAACTGCATGGTTATAATCCAACTAGACCAAAAGGTACGGGCTGCCACTATTTAAATTCCTGCAGTATCAAACGCCATAGTTTAACTGTTCCAGTATTATATGCGGAAACAGAAAGGCAAACAAGAACGCCAAACGCCCTTAAGATGCTGTGCTCTGCGCTTGTTGTTTTGTCTTCAGTTTAAGGAAGCAGTCCCGAGTATCCGACCACAAGTAAGCCGAGATACAATAGCAAAATCCTGTATCCCTCAAGTGAGAACGAGTATGTGTCGAATGCGTGACAATATAAGCTGTGTAACGCTTTGGCGTATGTTTGCTGTTTTGTAGNAACGAGTATGTGTCGAATGCGTGACAATATAAGCTGTGTAACGCTTTGGCGTATGTTTGCTGTTTTGTAGGATTTCGAAGTTGAATTTCTTTACCACGAACCTCCAGTAAGTCTTAAAACCGTGATTTTCGACTTGAGCCAGCGTTCGCATGCATATATTGAAAACGTCGTGACCACTGTGTTGCTTTCTCAACCGATTTCTCTTGCCTGCGGATGTAATATGTGCTCTTGTTTTTCAGTTGCAAGCGGCAACTGCAAAAGGCAGAAAACTCCTTCATTCTCACAGCATGGAAGCGGATGCTGTCAAGAAACCCATTCGGGATCTGATTGAAAAGGCCATCGGTTGGGGTGCTGTTTCAAGTGCACAGTCGTGTCTCATCACCAACCCGCAAGTGCCATTTCCATGCGACGACCCACTTCCACTAGATCCAGACAGGGACACACTGGAAAGGCTGATAAGCAGCTCTCGGTATGTGCTTGTCACAATGAAGCAAGCACCTGCTGAACAAGCGGCGGCCTTCTTACAAAGAAGCCCGTTCCTCGCACGCATCAGCCGTGTTCAGAATCTGAGATAAAGCTCGCACTAAATAAAAGTCTTTTACAAGCACAATTTTTATATGTCGTGACCGTTCGCGTATGTGGCGTAGCAAAGAGCTGCTGTCGTTGGATGAGTCACACGAGAACGGCGGCAACAGAAACGCCTCTGTTCCTTCCCTAGGTTAAGATGAGAACAGCCAGGCTTCTTTGCGGTTTCTGCAAAGTGCTCGACAAATTTTTTTTGCTCCGGAATTGAGCTCTTAATAGTGCATTTTTTGTAGCGAGCGTGGCATATTTCCCAACCACATAGGGTAACGATACCTTAGAGGTGTAAACTGGAGTTCGCGCACGTCATACCCTAGGTCTAGTGAGGGCAGAATGTGCAATATATATGGAGACACGTCACGCGTAGTTCACGTAAGCAACACTTGTGCCCACGGAGCACCTTACAGTATACTGATTAGGATTTTGCCGTGCACTGCCAACGCTTCAAGGAAGCTTGTCGACAATCTCTTGTGGCATCATAACCGCGTCGACCAGGTAGATATATCCATCTTCGGCCTTGATTACACTGTCAAGGTCTACCATAGCGCAGCAAGGCAAGCTGTCNGGTAGATATATCCATCTTCGGCCTTGATTACACTGTCAAGGTCTACCATAGCGCAGCAAGGCAAGCTGTCGGGGTCGTCGCAAGAGGCGGTCCTCGTGTAGTCGCTCACGCATACCTGAAAATTCCAGAAAGCATATCGCTACTAGCTCTTTCAAAAACCTACCGTACATAGCCTGCGTCCTGTCTATGTGTGTTAATTCTGCACACGGGTGTGTGTTCAGCATGCCCTCACATAGCCGTCGGGAGCAATGCTGGCCGTCTCAGAGAGAAGTGAAACAATGGAACCCTCAGCTTCCCATTTGCCGCTGCGAATAGACGCTGGAGTAACAACCATATCACTTGCCGCGAAGAGGATGAGCTGCAAGCAATCAACAGCTAGACTGTTCCAACGTGACCGTAGACCTCATACGTCGGAACATGAGTGGTCTACAGTTCACAATATACATAAGAACAAGGATTAGGCTAAGCGAATATTTCTCTGCTTCTCACAAGCTTACGGTCTCAACGTGTTGCTTGTTGTTGAT